AATTGATACTTAGAAATCAATCAGTAAGAGAAAACGAGAGAGGGTTTTGATCATAAGTCTTTGACATTAATCAAGGCAGAGTCGGTGAGGCATTGCTCATTATCAAGCCTCAGTGCTTCTGCAATACTCTCTCCATTCCTCTTTGTGTTCATTCAGAGAGCTTGCAGCAGGTTCAGGTACTAACATAGCTTAGAAATGTCCTAGTGGTATTTAGTCAACTTTACGTATGACTGCATCAACAATTAAGCCATAGCTTTTGTCTTAACAATACACAATGCTTCATTATATACCTTATACAAAATCATTGCACTAGGATAAAATACCAATGGAGCTATACTCTATTCATTAGAACATAGAGTATGGGCCCAACAAAATGGAAACAAATGGCAAACTATTGATGTTTACACATGCTTTATATGGGAACAACAAGGATTTATTTGTGAGAGTAACACCATCAAACCCCAAGACATTTGTCTTGACACAGAACAAAATGTTTGTCATTTTGAAGTACATCCCAATGAAACCCTTGAATCTGTACTTGTATATATTGGGAAAGGATGTGTTTGTATGAGAACCCTTCATGATTTTATATTCGGAGATAACATTACTGTAGATAGCAGTAATCACTCAAATTTCTGTTTGCAACTTTACTAAAATTACGGGATGCAACTTTAATTATTCAGGTCCTGTTATGTCTTATCAATTGTTGCAATCTAATTATACGTTGAGTCAAGACTTATTGCCTACCCATCGCAATAAATCTTACATCGGTGAAGGAAATGTTACAACATGATGACCTCTGTCAACTGCTAGAATGCATCCAAAACAATGGACACAAAACTGTAATCACTGTTCATCATGATACAGAAGAGATACATCATGTCTTAGAAAGAATGTAGAAGGATAGAAAACACCATTGGTGGAAGACTCCTCTTGTATAGTCACTGACAGCAACAGGAGTTTTTAATTTCATGTATAACCAGATGTGATCATGCTAACTAACTTTAATATTTCTATTGCTTATAATTACATTGTATATAAAGGTTTGGTACATGGTAAAACAAATAACCCAGCTCCAGCCACCCAAAACATACAAGCTAATATACAATAAAGAGCAGTGCTTCATTATCTACTCACTGTGGATCTATAAGCACACAAAGTATTTATACTATTTATTGCACAGAGGAAAGAGGTGACAATACAACCACTCTACGAGGGTAAGATGAATTGGCTATAGTCACAGGGTGGAGAGTGACAGTGTGCTTCTTCCCCCTGCCCCAAATCTGAAGGTTATTTTCTGTAACTCTGCTCAAGTGATAAGTAGATGCGTCTGGTCAAAGCAGATTTGGGGAACACAGGTAACACAATAGTAAGGGCTAATTTGAGCAATGTGCCCACCCAACCACAGTGCTGGTCAATGCAAAATTTAGAAGAAAAGCAAATTTGGAAGAAATTAAGATCTGTAGTTGGTATGAAAATATGACTGAGTCAATTCTCTTACTCCAATATAATAGTGGACAGCCCAGGCCCTGGGCTTTACTGGCAGGTGGCTGCATGCCAGAATTTCCCCTTGAGTAGGAATTCCTCTCAAGGTTAGTCCTCAAGTTTGAGAGATTCCTTATTGCAACAGATTCTCAGTAAGTGATTAATAGCATGCTAAACTTTGAAATCCTTAACTGATATAAAGGATTGATTGAAGATACATAATCCTTTAGACATAAATATTTGACCAAGTCAGGGACTAGGACTGGATCCAACCACACCTAATCTCCTCTCTGAGAAGGAGTTTAGGATGCAAGGGGGTCCTCTCTGAGCCTCATGACTCAATGGGAGGGTCTCCCTGACAGTTTTGTCTGCCCCTGTGATCTATGCAGTAAATACTAAAGCATACCTTGGCATCAAATCTTGCTAAACCACTGTTGCATTTACCATCAAACTTTGTTAAAATGCTGTTATATATCAATAATTGCTGCTTATCATCTACAAATGAAATTCATCGCTCCATCCACGACAAAATGTCAAATGCTACTTATGCAAGCATCAAAATCAAGTAGTATTTTTTACTGTGATTTTAGTCAGGGAAGCTGATTTTCAGAAAGCATAATAGTTACGGCTGACGCAAGTGATGAAGACATAAACAACATTATGTAAAAGAGTGCAAAGGCATAAGGACGTTAGAAACAATATATCGAACAGTGTTCCCACCCTGAATTTAGGTCTAGCTCTCCTAAGGAATTAGAATGAAATTATTGCTCTTAATACTCTTCAACTGGTCACCAGGAGACAGCAATACATAGTTTTCTGCAGATTGGAAGGACAGAAAGGAACTTGTGTACCATTAAAGCAGATCTTCCATGAAAGTTCACACATATCAATAAATGTTTCATTCTATATTTTCAGGCTTGAGATAATTAGAGCAGCAAGAGAGAAAATTTGGTCACACACTTACTATATGGATTTATGTCTTATAATTTTTAGTTGTATTTGATGTTTTGCTCTTCTCAGGCCAGTAAAGCTACACTGTACTGACAGAGAAATGCAAATTGGTTTTAAAGTTACACTTTTGGCAACAAGGGATTTATTTCAATAACCTCTTTGTCTAGTTGTTTTCCCAAATTTAGGTGTACTTAGTCTAGAATTTAAATGCAGTTTTAATCCCCTGCTAGCTGCATACTTGCTTGAGGACCAATCACACTGCAAATTAGGACAGCTTTGCAGTGACTACAGCTGATACTGGATTCCAGTTTGGCCAATCTGACAATCTCAGGATCAAGAAAGGAAAGTCTGAACGATCTTTGCCTCCACTCACAATTGTGCCAAGGCTGCGAGGTCCTAGAGATTTTGTGTTCCCAAATTGCTGGGATTAATATGCTTTAAAGAATGAACTAGATAATGAGGCAAATCATATAACACTTCTAAATTATTATTTAGAAAGACCATAGAATTTTATTTGAAATTACAGATGGCATTAAGCAGCAAAGTTCAATTATTCACAAAAAAACCCATTGAATCTAACAGTACAGATAACAGTATTGTAGAAGGATCTAGGTACCAAATCCAGACACCAACTTTGAGCTTATATTTTCCATGTGTCAGCAATGTTCACCCTTCAACTATTAGGACGTTATTAAGAATGGTATTGCAGATCCCTCCATATCTAACTACAGTCTGGGCCACATATCTTATCTACCTTACAGAAATGCCTTAGCATCAGCATTACAAAGTGTAATGAGAAATAAAGTCCTAAACTCAGCCTCAACACTGGAAGACTCAAGCAACTGAAAATTACCCATAGCCATGTCTGCTGGGTTTATATTGTGGGGTTATGGTAGCAGGGGAGTGGGCTACAGAGGTGGCTCCAGATGCCAACCTGCAGCCTGTGGAGGACCCCACACCAGAGCAGGTGGATGTGCCTGAAGAAGGCTGGGGCTCTGAGGAAAGCTCATGCTGATTCAGGCTGGTGCTGGGAGGACTGCAGCCTGCAGCAGGGACCCACACTGGGTCAGCTTGTGAAAAGCTGTAGCCCATGGGAAGGACCCACGTTGGAACAGTTCATGGAGAACTGTCTCCTGGGAGAGAGACCCCACACTGGAGCAGGAGAAGAGGTGAGGAGTCCTCCTTCTGAAGAGGAAAGAGTGGAAGAAACAACGGATGATGAACTGAGATCAACCCTCATCCCCTGTCCCCCTGCACTGATAGAGGGGAGAAGGTAGAAAAATAGGGAGCAAAGCTGAGCCCAGGAAGAAGGGAGGGGTGGGGGGAAAGTGTTTTTAAGATGTGGTTGTATTTCTCACTATTCTACTGTTTTGATTTGTAAATTAGTAGTGATGGTGGTGTTCAAAATAAATTGATGAGGTTTTTTTTTCAAATCAAGTGTGTCTTTTGTCTGTGACCATAATCAGTGAGTCATCTCTCCCTGTCCTTGTCTTGACCTCTGAGCCTTTTGTTATGTTTCCTCCTCCCCATCCCACGAGGGGGGAGGAGTGAGTGAAGGGCGACATCATGCTTTGGGTTTAAACCACGTCACTGTGCTACAAATATCGTAAATCCTGTCATCGAGAGCTACATCAGAGAATATGTTGGACTGACATTTTCCTGGGTTCTGCCAATGAAAATGTTTGACACATTGTCTGGGAATTCAGTTGTTAAAACTCATAGAGAGCAAATGACAGATACCTTATATCCAGTGGTACATACTCTTTTTATCCACATAGTTAGTGGTCACCGTTCACTATTGTGCTAATAATTCACATGTTCTTAGCTGTCATGTCCCACTAAGACAAGGGAGACAAATGACTTAGATTCATAAATCCACAACGGAGTAGACAACGAGACAAGTCCAAAGTCCAGACACAGACATTTATTAATTTCCCACAATATACTAACCGGATACATGAGAACTGGCAAAGTATATAACAAGTTATGGCAAGTGATATAGGAAGCCTTGCATTGTTTACTGGTAATAAGGGAAAAGGGGAAAAGAAAGGAGACAGAGAGAGAGGTAGAAATAAAGATCACTGGTCTGGGTTTCTGTGTTGATCCCACCAAGGGTTCAATGATGCATTCATTTTCTTCGCTTCACTTCACTCTCCCCACCTTTCTTGCCCTCCCCTCAGTTTATAAACACTTTCCTTGGGTCTCTCCCCTAGGTTGACCCACATACCTAAATATCCCATGTATGGAAAAGGGTAAGGTGTTTCATGGGATGATGTAATTAACATGATCTTGTTAGTCTTTGTTAGCATATTCAGGGGTGTCAACTTTAATATGTGTTTCATGGATAGTGAAGCAAAGGTCATTCACCAGACAGATGGCCCTTGAAACGTTGTAAGATACACCAGCGCAGAACCATCCTGGCTTCATAGGGCTCCCCCTTCCAGCTGCATGCTGTGTTATTCAGGCTGTCTTATCAGCCTCAGCCTCCTCACTATCCATTCTGTGATTATAGTTTCATTACTTGAGAGTGTCTGAGACATTCCTCAGCTTGGAAGGCCTCCAGTCCTGCCCTGTCCTTTATCTCTTTCTCAGGCTGGTTTTCTCAGTCTTTGTTTCTCACAGGCCTGTTTCTTTCAGGTCCTGTTTTTACAAGTCATCGCTCACACTAGCACAATGACAGAGATACTGTCTGAAATTTCAACTCACAAATCAGGTGAAAGACCGTGGAGAGAGTCTGCAGCACTGCATAACAGCGTGTCTGCCACCTTAGCTGAAGTCTTGTAGAGTTGCCTCACTTTTACCATGAAAGTCAGTGCAAGGACTGGAGGCATGTGATCACATTGCATCTGATGGAACAGCAGTCACTCCATGTTGCTCTAGTCAGACACTTTTTCCCCAGGAGAACAGATGTATTGGACCACAGTCCAAGCTCCAACTGACATTCTAAGTGCAGCTTTAGGTAAATTCACAGGATCAGAGTGAGCAAAATTGAGTATCATCCTGAGCCAGGATTGAAGGCACTTTACAGGAAATCCTGAGTCCTAATATTTGTTCTTCTTACTGAATGTCTTTTTTTCCAAGATTTTTTTAGTAAATAATATACATCAAGCCCCAGAGCAGAGATCAGACAAACTTAATCTTCCCTCCTCACCCATTACACTGTCCTACTCTAAATCAGATGACATGATGTGAGGAGCAGTATTCTCAAAACTGTAAGGAGCTCTGATGCTGCAGTGACAAGTCACCATAAATGCTGTGAATAACCCTCCATTTCCTGCCATACCACTTCATTCTGAAAGAATAAAATTAGTAGCATTATAGCTACTATAATATAAATAACCTGTACCACACTGTTTGGCTAATTGTTAGAAGAATGATATTAACAGAGATTATATGAGGAACATTATCAATATAATTATAGATGGGAATAAAAACCTCCTGATCAGAATGATCAGCTCACTGCTCTATGCATTCCAAGTCCTCCCAGGATGTTTGATTTAGCTTTTGAATCTCAGGTTGAGCTGAAAGATATGTGAGAACTCATGTACCCAGAAAGCTTTCTACTAGCTCTACATCTGAGGAGACTCAAGAGTATAAATTAATCATTTCAATGTCAATTGTAACTTACCCTCATTAAATTGACTTGAGATAATTATGCTTAAGACAATAGCATATGACTAACTTAAACATTTTGCTAAACACTGCTTCTTTCCCTACTTCCTCCCTCTCTTTTTTAAAATCTGTTTGCTTTTGACATCAGCTGTCAGAACTACAAGAATAAGCACATCTTAGCCTTCTGATTTTTGAGAGTGGGACAGAGGTCTGATTAATCCAAATGTGTGATATACAAACACTACATGATCCTGAATTGTCTTTTATGTGACTGGAAGGAAGGGAAAAATGTGGATAAAAGGCAAAGTGGAAATGGTTGTACAGCCTCTGGTGAATATCCAGTTTCTACCCATTCAAGAAAGTTGTTGCTAGTATTTAGTATGCACTCAGAACTCTTAGTTTCCTAAAACTGGCAGAATACAAACACTGGCATTTGTGTGACGACCAGTGCCAGAATGAGTTCTGCCATGGAGGCAGATGAAAACAAACAGTGCTGCAGAGTTCTTCTCATTTTTCCTTGAAAAATTCTGATGTCTTGAAGATTTTCTTTACTCAGTGATATCTCTCTCCAAGCTAGTTCATTTAGAGGAACATTTCTGAAGGGCAGTGAACTCAGGGCTGTCCTGAGAGCTACTACTTCATCTGGAGGTGTTGATATGTAGTATAAAGGTAACATCAGGCTTTGGAGGCTTGAAGAATCAGAGAGGCACATTTATATTGGTGAATATAGACAGATGCCTTTGGATGAATATCTTAAATTAATTTAGTGAAACAAATTGTCAGTTGCCTCTCACTCTGGTCCATATAGACTGCATAGATTTATATCATTAAAAGTGTCAGTAATATGCAAATGAAAATGAGGTTGGATTGAGCACTTTATCTTTCTAATGCCTCACATGGATTATTCTTCCTTGACATATCCTATGCTCACTTTATTATTGTCTACTGTCAAGGCTTTCTGGCTTACTGTATAATTACTGTATAATTTGTTTTTAAAGACCATTTCCTTTTCCTTTTATCTTCCCATTGCCTCTATAAATTTTCTAATTAAAAAATATTTTTTCAAACAGCATCCATTAAACCTCCAATATCTATAACTTGAGATGTTATTTGTAAGAAGAATCTATTTGCTTTGAAATTCTTCTTGGTTCCAATAATTCTGGGAGAAGGTTTTCTAGATCCCGTTCATGAAAGCATATACTTATTTCCAATTAATTCTACTTGAATATCTTTTCAGTCTCAAAAAAAAAAAACACCAAACAAAACAAAACAAACAAAAAAAAACACAAAACAAACAAACAAAAAACCCACCCCCCCAAAAAACCCAAAAAAACCAAACAAACAAGGAAATGAAGCTAGTCAAGGATAATGACAAGTCTCTAGGAAAAATTGAAAAATTGAAACAATCACTTCAGCTGGCATATCTTTCCCGTTTTGACAGCTGATCTCAAAACCAAGCAGGTTTTAGAAGAAAAAACCTCAGTGTTTTAGCAAAATGTTTAAATTAGTCATATGCAATCATATGAAGCTAAAAAACCTTGATCCAATTTATTGTATCTAAGATGTAATTGATTTTTTTAAAACTTTCACTTATATCTTCCCATCTAAGATGGGGGTATAATAGAAAGATATATGGGTATTCAGGTTTTCACATCCTAGATTTTCTACAGTGGGAAAAAAAAATTGCAATGGATTATGAGTCTTTATCTGCTGCCAGAGTACAGTGCGCAGTAGTCATGGAAAGCATAGAGCACTCATGGAACCTTGACTTGAAAATGGTGTAGCACCAAATACAATCTTCTGATCATCGAACTGATACCAAATAACTTTGAAAAAAAGGTATCCTGAGAACTTAATGGCAGGGTTAAATTCTTTAAGTTTGCCCTGTTTCCTGGTTACACTTCTGACTCCATTTCCTGTTGCTCAACTTCTGAATTAAACTTATCTCTAATTCTTGTTATTTTTACTGTTACTTCCCAATTTCTGCTTCCCAACTTCAGGATGTTCTGCTCTGACACTGATTTTCTTAGCTCAACCTTGTCCCAAGCATGACCTAATGGTCATCAGAATTAAAGAGGAAGTGGTCAGAGACCTGCTACACCACTTGGATGCACACAGGTCTGTGGGACCAGGTGGATTACACCCAAGGGTGCTGAGGGAGTTGACAGATGTGCTCACCAAGCCGCTGTCCATCAGTAAGTTCACAGATGACACCAGGTTAAGTGGGAGTGTTGATCTGCATGAAGATAGGGAGTCTCTACAGAGAGACTTGGATAGATTGGATCGGTGGCCAATGTTATCAGGATGAGCTTCAGCAAGGCCAAGAGCCAGGTCCTGCACTTGGGCCACAACAACCCCATGCATGGCTACAGGCCTGGGGAGGTGTGGCTGGAGCTGTCTGGGAGAGAAGGATCTGGGGGTTCTCATTGACAAGCAGCTGAACAGGAGCCGGCAGTGTGCCCAGGTGGCCAAGAAAGCCAACAGCATCCTGGCTTGTGTCAGAAATAGTGTGACCAGCAGAAGTAGGGAGGTGACAGTCCCCCTGTGCTCTGCACTGGTGAGGCCACACCTGGAGTATTGTGTCCAGATTTGGGCACCTCAATACGAGAGAGATATCGAGGTGCTGGAGCGAGTGCAGAGGAGGGCAACGAAGCTGGTGAAGGGCCTGGAGAACAAATCCTATGAGGAGCGATTGAAGGAGCTGGGACTGTTCGGTTTGAGGAAGAGAAGGCTGAGGGGAGACCTCACCACTCTCTACAGCTACCTGAAAGGACATTGTAGAGAGGTTGGTGCTGGTCTCACAGTGACAGAACAAGAGGGAATGGCTTTAAACTGCAACAGAGGAGGTTCAGACTGGACATTAGGAAAAAAAAATTCACAGGAAGAATAGCCAAACAGTGGAATAGGCTGCCCAGGGAGGTGGTGGAGTCACCATCGCTCTTGTTCTGTTGGAAGAATAGGGGAGCCGTCATAAGAGACTAGCTGGGTGTTGTTTATTTTGTGTTTGGTTTTGGTTTTTTTTTTTACTTCTTCTTTTCTTTGGATATTTTAATCACCCAGTTACAGGATATAGATCTAGTATTTTTTTTAAAAAAAAAAAAAAAAAGAAGAGCTCTATTTCTAATGTAAACCTTAATTAACTTGGCAGCTTAAATGTACTGACATCTACCTTACTTTTGGGTGTCATGCATTGATAGAAGATATATGGAAACTATGGAATCCAAGATGATGCTGAAATTTAAAGGGAGTTCTGTATATAAGAGCTTAAGCAATCTTCAATTTTCTTTACACTTGTGAAACAGATAGGAAAAAAAAAAAACACATTAAATACATCTCCTTCTGTTAATAGCTTACAGAAGACAAACATTTCAAGAAACAAATAATTTTTTAAAAGTGGATTCCTCCTCCAGTAACGCCAAATCCCTTTCTTTATTGAATCTTGTAAAGGATTTACCACTCATAAGATAAAAACCCAAGAATTTTTCCAATTAACTCTCCACAATATGCTTTAATTAGATAAAATAATGTAAGATATTGATGTTGGCATAATCTATATAAGCGGTACAAAGTTCCTCTGTTTCTTCCTCAGTCTTTCCAAATTAACATATCTCCTCATGGTGCAATAAATATTTTAAATGGAGCAGAAAGACATAAACATAATTAAAAGTACTGTTGCACCATCTCCTTATAAATATTTTATAAGTTTTTACATTAAAATAATATGAGACTGAACACAGTGAATTTGATGGGTATTAGAAGCATCTGTAGAATACTTGATAAAGAATAAATTCAAATTCATTGAACAATAATTTACAAAGCAAAATGCAAATCTTTGTATAATAGGGCATATTTCTGTATACTACATTGTTTTTTATATCTCAAGCAGATAAGACTGAGTGTTTTATTTCATTCTGTGAATTATTTCAAAATTTGTATTATAGGAAGATGGCACTTGAAATTTTCTAGGCAAAAAGTTTACACTGATAAGAAGTTATTGGTGTATAATTTAGGATAGTGTGTTTACATACAAAAACCCCAAATGACTGTGTATTAAGCATTTCATTGGGTAATTCTGACACATTCTAGTTATATTATAATGAGAAAGACATAGTGAAATTTACACTGTACTGAACAAAAACTTTTGACTGTTACAAAATCCAAAACCAGACCGGATGAAAAGACCTGTCAAGCCTGATTTCCAAATATTCTGAATCCCTGGCTCCCACAAGATAGTATTAGTACAGTTACAGATCTAATTCTGTCCATTCTGTCATTTTTTTCAAACATAGTCAGAAGAGGTGGTCACTAGTTCATGGATATTATTTGTTTCATTTCACTTCCATAGATATCAGGAAGGCTTCTTGTATGCTGGAGGCCCTATTATTCTTTTAGGAATTTGGTGTGCAAATGGAGAGGGATCTGGTGGAAGCATGATTCTGGAAAATTGTCCATTGACCATTGTCTCTAGGAAAATGATGTTGTAATAGATATATATTAAATTTCCATAGAGATGTAATGGTTGTTAATTTTTGACTGCAATAATAGGTTTGGAATCCAAATGATTTTATGCAAAAAATTAGAATGTTATGTAACTGCAGTACATCATGAAATTTATGATAAATTATTCAAATCCCTTTTGAGTTTATTCAAAATCTCTTAATCAAAGTGGCTCATTTGGCACATGATGGGACAATCAATTCTCTGTCATAATCTAAAAAAAACCCCATGTTTATTGTGGAAAGTAATGTTGTCATGGGTAAGGATGAAATGGATGCGACCAGAGAGTTGTAAAAGTCTCTAGACGAGATGCAATCGACATCATCATAAAGTGAATATCTGATGTACAAAGTGTTCTAGACCATACTGATATCTAGACCATGCTGATAATCAGAGCACGATGCATTTAGTTACATAGTTTATGGACAAAGTCTGATGTGCTTACAACAAACTTTTTTTAGTGCTCTTTCAATGACGGAGGGTTTACTAATGGTTTTGTGTGTCCTGCTAATTCTTCATGGAAGCTATAAAAGTCGGCTACTACTGGCTTACTTCTTGAGGAAGAAGTGATCAAATGCTGTATAGGAAAGGGGAAGGTAAGACTGTTTCCTAGAGTATAATGAGGAAATGATTTGATCATGTCTCTGAGCTATGAGAGGTGTAGAAACATTTTAGACTCCTTATCAAAAACTGATATAAGGTATTTACATGCAGAAACCAAGACAATATTTACTTATGTTTCCTTTTTTTCATTTTAAAATTAAGCACTTTTACAAATCAAAATATTGCTATCTGCTATTTCTTTCATATACATATGCCAAAGCAAGATGACTAATAAATGTAGAAGGTAGTTTGAGAAAAAGGTTTTTTAAAATCAAAAGTATTTTTATATATGATTTCTCATTGACAAAAACTATATTATTTTTTTTTCTTGTATACTAAAATATTTCAGAGTACCTTTTGTGTATTTCATGGATGTATTTTAATTTACATTTGTGTCCTCTATAATTTTATTATGGGCACATAATTTATAAAGTTAATTTAAATCTTTTAGAGCTGTAGTAACTATCAAAATCCTGCAAATGAAAATGAAGTAATATTCGAAATATCTTAGCAAAACTTCCATAT